CTGCCTATTTGTAAAAAAATCAATAAAAATATTTTTTTTTAAATAAACTCAGTGGTGAAGACTGCGGACCTGTTTCCGCATCTGTGACGATGGAGAAGAGCAGATCCTGCTCTGAGGGGCCAGCCTACAAGTCCAGTGAGAGCACGCAGGCACCGGACTCCTGCTGGCTCCCTGTGGCCCGCCCTCGCCGCCCGCTCAGTTCCAGCCAAAGCCTCAGCTTCCTCGTTGTGGGTCCAGCACACCGAGCCTTCCCACCTCAGGGCCTGTGCACTTGCCGTTCTCCGCCCGGACGCTCTTTCCCGAAGAGCCGCGTGCCTTCACTTCAGGCCTCAGGCCACAGTCACCCCCTCCGCGCCCCCTCCCCGACTGGACTCAACTCCACGGGGGTCCCAGCCCTGGAGCGTTCGCTGAGCGCGTGCGAGCGCAGATAAAGCTCCGCAGGATGGAAAAAGCTCTTTCCTCTCTGACTGGGAGTTTTAATGGGACTCTGACCAACCGGGTCCTGTCCAAGGTCAGGCTGACCTCTTCACCGTCCCCCGAGACAAGAAGAATGATGAGAACTCAGGCTGCGTCTGAGAGAGAGGAGTGCTGGGTGGTACTGGAGGGCGATGGTCACCCTCCCCGGGCAGGACCCGGCCCTGAGCGTGTGAGCCGCCTGCGGCTGAGGCTGCCAGTCCCTCCACCGTCCTCTGCTCAGAGCCCGCAGCCCCCCCCTCGGGAAACCGGCCCCCAAACCCGCTGGTGACGCCCCAGCAGGCCCGGCACCCGCCGCTCCAGCCCAGACCCGGCTTTCCTGAGCGCCTGGAGCCAGGGGCCCGGGGCCCAGAGTGAGGGTGGGTGCGGGGCCACGGCTGAACCCGAGGCATCGGCGCCTCCAGGGAAGGCTCAGGTGCAGGAGCGTGCGGCCCACACAGAGCAGGGAGCAGCGGGGGAGCGGGTGGCGATGGAGGAGACCTTCTCTTCTCCCCTCCGCCCGTCTCTAATGTCCTCCTCGGGGGGCCGTGCCCGCGTCCCCCTGCTCCCTCCCCCTCCGGGCGCTGTCCCTGCGACCGGACATGCAGGCCCACGTTCCCTCAGAAACCCTGGGGCCAGAAGCCTCCGATTGTCCAAGGTGGCCGTGCACACAGACCAGCCGACGGAGCCCCTCCCCTCCACGCAGCCCCGGGACCATCCCAGGGACAGCCCTGCAGGACGGCGCGCTCAGCGCTCAGCGAGGAGGAGAAACACAGGCCCAGCGGCCTCCAGCTGGGCTCGGGTCAGGCCGCCCCAGCTGAAGTTTTTGTGAAAAAGCTTGGGGTTTTCCGAGCTGGTGGCGTTAGGAATCATAGATGGGGGGTGAGGCGGGTGTCCTGAGTTGTTTGTAGGTACGGCCTGTCTTCTCAAGGGGAATGTGAGCTCAGGAGGGCAGGGACCTGCCAGCGTCCGGCGGCAGCACCTGGCACCTGCCTGCACTCTCCGTGCCCAGCACACATTGGGAGGAGAAATGCACGAGGAAGGCGGGGATTGGCTAGGGAGAGGTGACTCTGTTCTAACTGGGGCAGAAACTGCCATCCCTGAGCCACGGGCAAGGTGCCCATAAAAATTATCTTGTGAACACCCGCCCCGCCCACACCCATTTTACTGACAAGCAAACCGAGGCTCAGAGAGGTTAGGCAGCCGCCTCCAGTCTCAGATGGGAAGCAGCAAGCTCACATCGGAACCCGGGCCCTGCCTTCCAGCCCATCTCTGTGCCTCCAGCTCAGAGGAGCAAAGACTTGCTGGGAGTCACACCACAAGCCACGTCTGACGGCCCCTCTGACGGCCCCTCTGACGCCGGCTCCTGCAGGGCCCCGCAGCCACCGCTGGGTTCTCCCACCCCCTCTGGCAAGGGCAAGTCTGGTCTGACATGGCCAGGGATGTCTCACAGGGCCGGCCCTGAGGCATGCTGGGAAAGAGGTCCCTCTGGTCCCCCCAGCAAACCCGGGCGGTGAAGAACACAGGCTGGGGAGGGAAGGAGGTTCGAATCCCTCCCTGTCAGCCCTACACCTGGGACCTGAGGCCAGGCCACCACACACATCGCTGGTTCTGTTTCCTCACCTGCCCAGTGGGCAGACTGACCCCCGTCCAATGGGGTTAATCTCTTAATATTTTACAAACACCGGGCATTGTTCTGTATGCCTGACACTTATTAACTTCATCATAATGAACATCAATTGACTCATTTTCACAGATGGGGAAACTGAGGTCCTGAGAAGTCAGCCACTCTCAGCCCCTGGCAATGCGGCTCCAGAGCCCATGCTCTGAACCTCTGGACTGTGCTTTTTTCTTTGTTTTTAGTTATTAATCCTCACCCAAGGCCATATTTTCCATTGATTTTTAGAGGGAGTGTGGGGGGTGGAGGAGAGAAACATTGATGTGAGAGAGACACACAGATTGGTTGCCTCCTGCACAAGCCCTAACCGGGACCTGGGCATTGAACCTGCAACCCAGGTGCGAGCCCTTGACCAGGAATCGAACCTATGACCCTTCCATGCACGGCCACTCTAATCACAGAGCCACACTGGCCAGGACCAGGCTCACTTCTTGGCGGTAACAATAGACATGCGTGTTTCCTGTGGAAGGACTCTGTGCTGGAAACTGTGTTTCATGAGATGCTGGTTTTACAAATGTGAGGAATGGAGCACCCAGGGCCTTCGGTCCCTGCCCCGCCCAGCAGACGGGAAGCACTGAGGGCAGTGAGCTGTCTGACCCTAACGCCTCCATCCTGGCGGGTCAGGGGGACGGGGAGGAGAGGAAGGTCTAGGAAAGGGCCCCTTCCACCTCCCGGACACCTCACTCCAGCTCCTTTCTGAGCATCAGGAAACGGACGCCGGGGGACAGCCTCCCTGCCTGCCGGGCTCTCTGCAGCCGGGCTCCGGTGCACACACCAGCACTGAGTCACTGCTCCGATGCGGAAATCCCGAGCTCACCCACACCTGCTGGGAAATGGTGTGCGTAACCAGGGCGACTGGCTAGTGGGCTCCCCCTGCCTTCTGGGCCTCCCTCCAGATTCAATGCCGAAGGCCCAGGAATCTGCATGGCGGCTCCTAGGGCTCAGGCGAAGGCGGGACACTGGCGCCCTCCTCAGCGGGGCACTCAGACCTTCTACAACGTGGCCACACCCGCCTTTCCGCCCCTCTGGCTTCTCCCTGCTCCCAGCACCCCACACCACGCCTTCCACACTCCCAGCCTCTGTCCACGCTGCTCCCACTGCCAGCATACCGCCCCCCCCACCCCAAGCTCCCGGCCCAGCCCCTCTCCTTCTCTCCCCGCTGCTCAGGGTCCTGCTCGGGGAAGCCAGTCTCGTGCCCGTGAAGAGCTGGTCACCCCCCTGCCCTCCTCCCCGCCCCCAGAGGGCGGCCTCCTCAGGGCAGACGCCGGTGCCCAGAGCCGCACTGGGCAGGCCCAGGAGCCCTGTGAGAGCTGGGGAGTGAGGGATCGGGGGCCCCTCCCATCCACCCTCAGCATCCTCCTCGAATCACAGGTTGGACTAGCCCAGTTCCGGGCCTTCTGCAGGACTCTGGAACCCCCTGACAGTGGGGGACACCCTGGTCATACGGACACCGAGCCTCAGTTTCCCCAACAGACTTTAAGGTTTTAACAAAGGCGCTGATGTCCCAGCAAAAGCTCCGGCTCCTAAGAGGCCGCCCATTGGGAGCAGCTGCAGGGTCACAGCTCACAGAGGCCTGGGGCTCGAGCAGGTCAGAGCTGGCCTGGGCGCGAGCTGTGAACCCCAGCATCCGCCACCGGTCCCTGGTCTCAGTCCCTCCTGATGATAGAAAATACTAGAGTCCCAGTGCACGAAATTCATGCACTGGGAGGGGGGTCCCGGGACCCCTTGGGGGGTGTCCGACTGGCAGTTTAGGCCCAGTCAGGCCTAAACCAGCAGTCAGACATCCCTCTCAGAATCCTAGACTGCTGGCTCCTAATCACTCACTTGCCTGGTCACCCCTGACTGCCACCCCCTCCCGCCAGCCAAGTTGCTCCTCACTGCCCCCCCCCCTCGCCAGCCTAATTGCCACAACTGCATCCCCCCACACTAGCCTGGTCTCCCCTAACCAACCCCACCGCTGGCCTGGCTGCCTCTTACTGCTCTCCCAACCCCCACCAGCCTGCTGTTCGGTCGTTTGGCCTTCCCTCACTAACCCCCCTGCCGGCCTGGTGGTAGGAAACCATCTTGTGAGGGTGTGAGGGTTAATTTGCATATTACCTCTTTATTCTAAAGGATAGATTTGGGTTTTTGTTTTTAAATCCAGATTCCTGAGTTTACTGAGCCTATCTCACAGAGAGGGCCTGGGAGCCTGCGGGTAACAGATCCCGGAGAATCGGTTCCTGGGGCAGCGTGACAAACCCCGTGTCAGGGGGCGGCAGCCTGCCTGGTTCCGTCCTGACCCGCACTTTCCCGGGTTATTTCCCTGCCCGTGCCCACGCGCCCCGGCCTGGAAAACGATGGAGGTACCCGGCAAGCAGGAGGAGCGCATTCTGACCTAACTCCGAACACGGTCAGCCCAGTGCGGGGTCCACCCGCAGCATTCAAACCAGGAGGCCGCAGGCGGAAGGTGTCTCCCCAGGTTCTTGGAGCTGGCCATCAACTGGCAGTTTCCAGGCCTCGCCCAGCCGTCCTCTCCCCGGTCCCACCAGCCGCCTGTCCTGGCCGAGGCGGCACCCAGAGAGGGGCCCAGGGCTCGGGAACGCCCTACCCCGCCGCCCCGACCTTCTAAGCCGTCTCAGGTGCGCGCGTCTGGGGGACCGCCGGGGGTCCGGGGCTCCGGGGGTCCGGGGGTCCGGAGGTCCGGGTGGCCGGGTGGCCGGGTGTGCGCGCACCCCGGGCTCAGCCTGCCTCCCAGCTCCCCGCCCGGCTGCCTTGGACAGGACGGAGCGGGCGCTCCCGAACCGCGAGGAGCCCGAGCGCCGTCCGGGCGCAGGTCCACCCGCCGCGGTCCCCGCGCTTCCCGGGCGCCGCCCGCACGGCCGCGTCCTACCTGCGCGCTCCCGTCCATCCCCGGCGGCGCCCCGACAAGTAAACAGGGAAGCGGGGGCCCGGGTGGCGGGGCCCTCGACGCCGCGCTGGGCTTTCCTGGGGGACCGCCCCCCAGCCCCCTCTTTCCCCACCCTCCCCGGCCCCGCCCGCCTCCCCGCCCCCCAGCCGCCTCCTCCCTCCCCCCGCTCCCTCCCGCCCCGCCTCCTACCCCGCCCCGCCCCCCCAGCCCGCCCCGTCCTCCCCGGGCCCGCGCACCGCCCCCAAATTTGCAGGCACCGCCCGCCGCCCCGCCGCCCCGCCGCCCGCCGCCCCGCCGCCCCGCCGCCCCGCCGCCCTGTCCGCCGACGGCGCAGAGTCCGCGTCCCAGGCGCTGTCCCTCCGGCCCCGAGAGCCCTTTCCCGGGGCCCCTGCTCCGTCTCCCCCGCAGCAACGGGGCCGCGCCCCGGGGAGCCTCAGCGGTTCCCGGAGCTTCAGAACGAAAGCCCGTCCCGCCGGGGCCCATCCGCCAGCCGGTCCCTGCGTCCTTCCCGCCGTCCTCCTGCCTGGGGGGGGGCACCCTCATTCCCTGCATCCCCCCCTCACCCTGCGGGACAGTGCGCCTGGGGCTGGGGGCTGGGCCGCTTTATCTTCTCTGCTCCCCAGCAGCCAAGGACTGCCGGTGTCGGGGTGTGTATCCCCCACATGGTGACATCCCCCACATGGTGACATCCCCCACCTGGGGACATCCCCCCACCTGGGGACATCCCCCACATGGGGACATCCCCCACATGGTGACATCCCCCCACATGGTGACATCCCCCACATGGTGACATCCCCCACCTGGGGACATCCCCCACATGGGGACATCCCCCACCTGGGGACATCCCCCACATGGGGACATCCCCCACATGGTGACATCCCCCCACATGGTGACATCCCCCACATGGGGACATCCCCCACATGGGGACATCCCCCACATGGTGACATCCCCCACATGGGGACATCCCCCACATGGTGACATCCCCCACATGGTGACATCCCCCACATGGGGACATCTCCCATCTGGGGACGGAGCCCTGCTGGGCACCAGGCTCGGGAGAATTCAGTGAACACCCGCTCTCAGCAGCCGGTGCCCCTGACACCCCGTGCTCATTCAATGCTCACCGCTGCCCCTTGAGGAACCCGGCTACTCCACCCATTTCACAGACGGAAACCGAGGCACAGAGCCTCTGAGGGAAGCCTGCTTAGAGTCGCAGTAGGTGTGGCATTCGAACCCAGGCTCCATAGACCAAACACTGGGCCACATAGAGCCCTGCTGCAGCCGGAAGGTAGGAAGACCACCAGATGGATAAAGTATGTCCGGGACAAGCGGCCCAAGAAGAGAGCAAGCAGAGGGACCTAGGCCAGCGGGGCTGGTGGCTTCAAGGTATCCAAGGGGAGGCATTTGAGCTGAGAAGCTTACGTGGAGGGGGGATGGGGGGAGAGTAGTTAGGGAGAAGGAACAGCAGGTCAAAGGCCTGGGGGGGAGCCACCCTAGCATGTTGTGGGGATGAGTGAAGGCCAGGCTGGCGGGAGAGAGAGCCTTCAGGAGGGGAGCGCAGAGGAGGGGAGGGGAAGATGTGCACACTCAGGCCAGTAGCACTGCGGACCCAGAGAGAATGCTGACCCCACCGTGCCCTCAGGTGGCTCCTGGTCTGAGCCTGGAGGCGAACTCCTGGAGCCAAGGGCAGCCCAAGGGGGTCTGGGTTCTGTGGTGGAGGGTGAGCCAGGGAAGCAGCGGCCTCTGGTGAGGGAGGGCTGGCTTGTGGGGGGCGGAGGGGTGATGGGGTGGCATGAGGTGGGCAGTACTCTCTTTCTCTCCTCTTTATTCACACTCATTCTCTTTTGGCCCTACGGTATGCCTGACCTGTGACAAATGCTGAGGACTCCGATAGAAAGATATGAAACAGACACAGCTCCTGCCCTCGGAGACCTTACAGCCACGTGGACAAAGCTGCCAACCCTCAAGTATGTGACAGTACAGTGGACTGTCAAGGGAGGAGTCAAGGATGGCTTCCTGGAGGAGGTGGCCTCTGATAGATGTCTCCATGGGTCAGTGGAGAAGAAGGAAGGGAAAGGAGATGGGCATTGGGGAGCCAACACTTGGAGGTCAGCTGTGGCGTGAAGGGGAGTGACATCTATTGGCTGACACCACCATGTGCCGGGCCCTGAGGTGGGGGCTGGGTGGGTAGGACATAGACCTGGCCCCTGCTTTCCTGCCCTGGCGTTTGGTTGGGGCCCTGACAAGTAAACAGACACAAGCACTCGAGTCCAAAACCCGGGGCTTTGTTTTTGCTGGTCTTTTTTTTCTTTTCTTTTTTTCTTAATATATTTTTATTGATTTTTCACAGAGAGGAAGGGAGAGGGATAGAGAGTTAGACACATCAATGAGAGAGAATCGTCGACCAGCTGCCTCCTGCACACACCCCACCAGGGATGTGCCCGCAACCAATGTACATGCCCTTGACCGGAATCGAACCTTCAATCTGAAGGTTCAATGGGGACCCTTCAGTCCGAAGACCAATGCTCTATCCACTGAGCCAAACCAGTTTCAGCTGTTCTTGCTGGTCTTATCTCCGGTTCATTGAATACGGGCATCGTAATCTAAACTGCAGCCTTGAGTCCAGTCGGCTGCCGGCTGGCAAAGAAACCACTGTGTGCCAGCTGGCCTCGCTTCGCCCACTGTTCCCTTCTTCCCTCCACTGCATCCAGCTGCAGACGCCCTGCCCGGAGACCCACTCGTGATTGGCGAAGGCAGTGACAGCAATCCCAACCCCGCTCGCAGATCCCCACCGTCCCGGCTCCTTTGCAGCTCGGGGGTGGGGGAGGGGTGGTGGTGAGGTGACTCAGGTCTGGCTGATCGGACAACGAAGGGGAAATCCAGAAAGAGGCCCACGGAGGGAAGACCTCTGCTCCCTCCTCCCGCCCATGCACTGCCAACGCCATGGAGCATTTATGCTTTAAAAGGTACTCTCCAGGCGGGCATGGACGGCCTGCACCACCAGCTCTCCGCTCACTTTCCTCCAGCTTTTCCCACGTCTCCCCCCTTCCTCACAGGAGCCTGGGGTGGGAAGGCCAAGGGCAGGTACTTCTCCATGGCAGCTGGTCCAGGGATGGCCCGCAGGAACCATCTCCCGGTTCACCATCCTGTGCAGCCCCTCCCCGCGGCTGCCCTGGGCCTGTGAAGCGGTTTCACTCCTGGATGCAAAGGGCGCGGAGCTGAGCCACGGGGGCCACAGGGACCGAGGACACTCTGCCTCTGCCCCTCGGCAGCCCCAAGCCACCCGAGGAGCCACCCACTGCGCCGACGACACCACCGAGCGGTGAGGAAGGGCCGCCCGGACCGCAGCAGAGGCGCGGGGAGGGACAGTCCCAGCCAAGGAGAGGGCTGCTCCCTGACAGCCCAGAGCATCTTCCCTCCCGTCTCCTGTCTCTTCGCTCTACAGTGCTTCCCAGGGGTCAGCCTTATCCAAGACAGGCCAACGCGCTCAGAGGAAGCAGTAGCTGCTGACGTGAATGCTGAATTTCCAGTAGGCACAGGCCCGCCTCGGTGTTACCCACCAGCACAAAGGACTGCTGTGACTCAGCTGACCTTACACCCCAGGGTATGTGAGGACACCCTTTAGCACAGAGCGCAGATGCTGATATGTGCCCTCTGTGCATCAAAGCCCTTTAACACCAGGCAACTTTTTTTTAATTATTTAGTGTGGTTTTTTTTATTATTATTATTATTGATTTTTTTACAGAGAGGAAGAGAGAGGGATAGAGAGTTAGAAACATCGATGAGAGAGAATCTTCGACCAGCTGCCTCCTGTACACCTCCCACTGGGGATGTGCCCGCCACCAAGGTACATGCCCTTGACCGGAATCGAACCGGGTACCTTTCAGTCCGCAGGCGGACGCTCTATCCACTGAGTCAAACCGGTTTCAGCTCTGGGTTACTTCGCTAATGTGATTAAAGGCTCAGTCGGGTGTGTATGCGACAGGAGGCAAAGCCACCGTTCCACATCTTGACACTCACGCCAGCCCCCACAGGACACCGAAGGCCGCTTGCCAGAGGCCCTGACGAGAAGCAGCTCCTGGAGCCGCGGGCGGGGCTTCTGGTGGAGCGTGGGCCTGTGAACCAGGAAGTCACGGTTCAGTTCCCGGTTTGGGCACATTCCCAGGTTGTGGGCTCCCGCCCCAGTAGGAGGCGTGCGGGAGGCAGCTGACCAATGATTCTCTGTCATCATTGATGCGTCTCTCTGTCACCCTCTTCCTTCTTCTCTGAAACCAATAAAATATATATTTTTAAAAAGAAAAGCATCTCTTTGAACTATCTCTGGATAAGGAAAGGAAAAAGTCGAAACCCCAGAATATTTTTTTAGGTTTTTTTTTTTTTAGCCCTCATCTGGGGATATTTTTTCTATTGCTTTCTAGAGTATGTAGGAGAGAGAGAGAGAGAGAGAGAGAGAGAGAGAGAGAGAGAGAGAGAGAGAGAGAGAGAGAAATATCGAGGTGAGAGAGACCCATTGATTGGTTGCCTCCCAGTGGAAGGAACCTGCGAACAAGGTATGTGCCCTTGACTGGGAATCCAGCCCATGACCCTTTGGTGCATAGGCTGAGGCTCTAACCATTGATCCACATCGGCCAGGGCCAAACGCCAGAATATTGGATCCTCTTGGTGCTGCTGACTGAAGCCAGGCACGCTGGGCCTTCTGGAGCTGGAGCTGATGGAAACCTCTGCTCCAATAGGCTTTGTGTGATGAGAGCGGGGTGCGAATGTCTACTAATTCCTGTGAGTGTTCTGTGAGCTTACCCCCAAACAGCAGGCGACGGGGGATTTGACCCAGCTGGCCAGAGGTGCTGGGTCCAAAAAGCAGTTTGTTTCCTAAAAATAAATCCGCATGGCTTCCTCCGCTTCTGTAACTTGTTTCTGAGCACCTTTCTTCTGCGGCCACTTCTCCCACCTCTGTGGCTTCCAAACACACGTGTCCTTCTCATTCGAGTCCCAGGCTCTGAATCTTTCTTTGCTGAACTCAGGAACCGAGGTCCATCGGTTGCAGGCTCCATCCCCCGCCCTGGTCAGGGTGCCTGCAGGAGGCAACCAATCCGT